TGGGTGAGTTGGAGTGGTTTGTGGGGCTCCTGAGGTGCTTGGCAAGAAGGGCGCCTCTCGCGTCGGGTTGTTTGCGTTGGCGTCGACGTGCATCAAAGTGTGCACAGTGTGCTAAGTGGTGTGTATGCATTCAATTTGTGCTGTTGAAAGTTTGGCTGGTAGGTATGAGTGCGAGGATCCAAAGACCATCGGTGCTGACAGGAGATTCCACGTCAGCACGTCACAGCTTCGTTGCAGGTTCAGCAGGTCATCGAAGGTGCCAGTTGGCCAGGTGCACATGCCCTGAAACATGCTCTACGAAGCCAATTCGAGCCCTTGAAAGGGTGGCTGGCAGAACTTTGTGTGAAGAATGCAATGTGACAATCAGCACGTTTGTCTGATCGACGCCTGTATGGAGTTTCAGTTCGAGGATGACCACCCCTGCCTGCTAGCAGTTTTGCAGGAAGTGGTGCCAGGCATGTTTGACGAGGGGTATTTCGATGACCCTGCATGTGTCGATGAGGTGGTTCCATCAGTACCATGCAGTACCGTACATTCGACGTACAGGTACCGTCTAGCTTCCAGGCAGCCCTGCCCCCTCCTCTCCCCAGCAGAAACCACCTCTACCACTCCCTCCCATCCCTTGCAGCCTCCCAAATTGACCTCCAGACCGACAGTCTCCACATCACACAACACAACCACACCTCCACACCCAATCAGAACGCACTCCCTCGTCAATCCACCGACGCCCGACGACGCACCGCACCTCTACACAACACACCTCTATACAACACCTCTGAAATCACAGCCATCCAACTCTGACAATCCACAACAGGGGACCAGAACATCCACTGGCACCACAGGGGCCCACAACACACAAAGCGCCATCTCGCCGACCGCCGCCCGACCTCCGACACACCGCCGCCACACACGCCCACACCGACGCCGATAGGTGCTAGTCACAAAGTGGAGGTGGAACTCAATGTGGGGGGCCAGGAAACGTGCTCACAAGGCCTGGACACCTCAACTACTACAGATGCGCTAATGGCCGGCGGGGGCGCCTGGGAGGCGGAAGTGTCGGGCGAGATAGCGGCGGGGGAGGGGCCCGTGCTACGCGCGTTGGGCGGATACCTGCGCAGCCTGAAGACCGCCGCGGAGGGCGGCGGCGGCGGCGAGGAGGCTGCTGCGGCGGCGGCTGGGAGGTGCAGGCGGTGCGGCGCGGTGTGAGCTCCAGTGGCGCGGCGGCGGCGCCGCCGCTTGCAGCTCACCCCTAAAGCCTTCCTAGGTCCAGCCTTCCTGCAGGAAGGCGCGTTGTCCAGCCTTCTTAGGAGCTCCGCAGCCCGCTGACCTCCCCTGCTGGTCCCTATCCCGCTTCTGACTGCCTTGCAGGTCTGTTTTTTGTGGTCTTTGGTTGTAGAACCATGGCAGAGGATGAGGAGGAGGCAAACAGTGGGCTGGAGGACGAGCTGATGACAACCACAGGGCAATTGGTGGAGGTGCTGCGGATCGTGTCACGGCTCAACACTTGTAGTAACCAAAAAAGGACACACATAATGTAGACACAAACAAGCAGGCAACCAGTTTGTCTTTGGCGGGCGTCTCGATCATAGTAGGCAGACTAACTGTTTATCCCCTCTGAACGATCAGACAGGTGTTGGCTGAATCACGAGGGATTTCAGTGGCACCATAGGCACCTTGGATGCGTCAATCAGAAACATGCGGGAAGGGTCCGGCTCATTGTAGTTTTTGCTGGCAACCATGGTGCCTGGGCTGTAGAAATGAGTTGAAGGTTTGCCATGGTCCCAAGGTTCGTTTAAACGCCAGAGGCTGACATCGGTATCGGCACCTGCAGCCATGAATGCACAACATGTCGATTGATCATAGAAACCAGAAGTGATATGTGTTGCATCGCGCACCAGTCACGAGGAAAAAAACCGGCACACCTAGAGATCACAACGTCACTACAACAACTCACCAGATCCTCTATCATCCCACATCTTTTGTGGTGCGTTCTGGTTTTCGCCGATGGAGATGACCAGATCGTTCCTCAGTGTCATGAAACCTTTGACGTCATCTTGCGTCGGTGGATCATCATTTTAATGGAAAAAACAACCCAAGGCCACATAGCCACACGGTGCTTCGGGGCACCACACTGAATATTCTGTAGTTTTAGCCCACGCTGTCGGCCTGCACTGAAATTCCAATTGCAATAAGTACACTATGCAACAACAAGGGACAACATGTCATGTGGTTGATTGCAGGTGCAACTACTCTTCTTAGCTGATTGCCATAGGAACAGAGACTGCAACGCTGACCATAGTGGCAAACTCACCCGCGCCTCCAATACAGCTCCCAACTTACAGGCGGAGCTACTAGGTTGGAGCCCTCCGGAAAGTAATACAACCTCACCGGGGTGGCGGTCCTGCAACAGTACAGATCAGAGGTGCCAACACAGAAGCTCATTTGTGAATTTCTAGACTCGGTCGGAAAACATTTGAACTGGCCACACGCCACAACAAGGATGAAGCTTACAAGGTGGACCTGCAATGAGGGAGGCTCGAGGGAACGGGTAAGCGAATGAGGTGGTGATAGTGGAAGAGCTGAAGTCGCCTCTGAAGTGCAGGTATTGGCCTGCTCCACTAGTGGTGCACTGCTGGTGAAGCGCACGCTCACTCTTCTGTGTCGGGGTACGCCATGTGACCAAACCAGATCGGAGAGCGAAGAAGCTTAAAAATCTTCAGGTCCTGCTGTTCCTTGCGTATGTCATAGGCCTGGTACAACTCCAGAAACTCCGTCCTCTTGTCCGGGGGAGGGATGAGAACCCAAGTGCCCTGCAGTGACAGTCTGCAGTTCAGCGACCAAGGGGACTTCACTGGTGGCCATTTGTAGTCACAACAACAACCTGGGGTGCAACTGGTCCCAGAGTTGAGCTCAAGCAGATGTTAACCCTGCACAAGCAGGGGTGTGCGAGAAATCGCGTGTGCAAAACAAATGCCACCCAGCATTACTGGAGCAGACTCGTGCAAAGGGGTTGCCAGCAAGAGGGTTCACCAAACTGAGTCCCAACACATGATGAGCTAGCGCATCCGGGCTTGTAGGCAGGCAGCCGCACCTGGCAAGGCACACGAAGGCAGCTAGCAGAAGGCTTTTGCTCCATCGAGCCATTCTGCCACGTCCTGGGGCAATGTTGCCTGAACAACGCCACTTGCGGGCTCGGGGGTGTCTGCAAATGAGTGCGCACAGCTCTATTTTCTGCTGTTCAAGGACACGCGTCGGCCTCACTCACAGCTGGAATCGGCGCCAGGTGCCACCTGGCGAGCCCTGGAA